GTTCCTTGCCCCGTGAAGATAGTTAATCTTATTCTCCTTTTCTCTTGCCACGACTTTTTCCAACCTCCTTACTGATGTCCGCACGGCCCCCGGCACACGCCGCACACAACGGTATTGAGTGAACATTTCTACGGAGAAATGGATGCGGATGTAAGAGTGCGCAAAAATGAAATGTCCCGAAAGAAAGTTGAGAACTCTTTTTTTTCGGGCCGTTTCACCAACTTTATACTCGGGACTGGAGTCTGGGTCATCTTCACTGAACGTTCATTGCGGTGGATTGCGGTGTTCTCATGAACGGGTGCGCCCCCACCCAGGTATTTTTCTTCTTTTTTTTGGAGGGGGGGGGGGGGGGGGAGGGAGGGGAAGGTTGGTGTCGGAGAGGCAAAAGTTTAATTGTTTCTTACACGGAATGCGGGGCTAGGCATCTTTCTTTTTATGTTTTAATAGTTACTCTCGATTTTATTTTTAAATTGCTTTACGTTGTTCTTTCGCTTGCCAGCAAACCAACGGTCACCCCACATGCTCGGGGGAAAGGGGGGGGGGGGGGGGGGGACAGTTTGGTTTAGGCATGGCAACTGCCCCTTTTGCACCCCACTGCCGACGCCCATGGTTCGAATACCGATTGCCATGTTTCTCCTTGAAGTCATGGCCAGGTGGCATTCGAAGCACGGATCTCGCGGTGGCTCGCGTTCGAATTTGTATGCAGACTGTCTTTTGTACCATGTATAAGCAGTGTGACCCCCGCTTTAGACAATGGCAACTCATGCTGACGTGACGCTCGGCAGAGAAAGGTTGGACCGGCATTGCATATAGCTCGCAAAAACTGCTCTAACTCGAGATGTGTTGGTGTACTTTAATGTTGGAATAAAAAGAACATACTAAAAAGTATACGTACCCCTGTTGCGAGGACAATCTATACGGCGTGTACTTGAGCTCTATAGCACACAAAAATGTGATAAAAGTGAGGAGAGTGCCACTTTTCGTCGAAAGCGTTCGCCACCACTACCCGTGAAAACAAGGGGTCGATGGGGGGAGGAGACTGGCCCCCTTACCCAAACATAGAGGTCAGAATTGAAGCCATTCACAAGGGAAAGGTTCACTAAGGTTGCGCGGGCATATTCCATTCAGCAAGCCAGTCGGTCGTGGGCAAACGGTCTAGGCCAGAGACGTCAGTGCAACGTTGCGTCGGAGTGCATGCTATGCTACACCTAGCGTTCTAGCTTTTGGCGACCACTTGGTTGGTGAGATCGTCGCCACTGTAATGTTTTACGAGTATCCGTGGTTCCAGCCTTCGTCTCCGTGGCGTTCAGTTTTGAGTGTACTTATTCGTTTTTTCCTAATGCTTGAAGTCGGGACGCGCGTGGAGGGCATGTAGAAAAATAAATGCCCATTGTTCGTCGTGACGACGCGACGACATAAGCGAGCGAGATGTCGCCCATGTGGATTTGATCGTAAAAAGTGCGTTAGACACCTCTGGAGCTGTCGTAGGATTCCATCGTAACTTAAGATTCGTGAATACGAATTTGTTCTTAGGTTTTGTCGCACGCACGCTTTTTGGCCGAAAGCTCGTTTCGGGAATCTGGCCTCTGCTATGTTCACACAGTACTAGATTGGCAGGGATGGCTCGCAGGATCCGCTGCGGTTCATTGTATAAGGTGAAGTGTAGTATATTTAGGTGAACGTCTTTGCATACATTTTAATCAAGTGGGGTGCTGCAGGCTTGACTCAGCCCAATGTCTCACGAACCTAAAAACAATTCTTGAGTTGTAAAAAAAAAATATTTCAACACGCGGTTTTGTTGTGTGGCATCACGTCTCTGCAGGGCTGTCCACAGGTGACGCAACGTCCCCTTAGACTTCGCAATAACGGATCTCTCGCGTTAGTGACGCAAGAATTCACCTAGAGCCGATAACGCCGGTTGTCTCTCAAAACAGCTCACGTTCCTCGCAGCAACAAAACGCGATGGCGCCGATGCGGCACAGCCGTACCTCGCTCTCCGCCTCGCTCCCGTCGGCGGCACTGAGTCACATAACCGCGAGACTGACGGACGTCACGTTCGACTCCGCTCATTAGCAATCGGCGGTCGTTCGCCTTGAGGAGGCAGAAAACAAGGCGGATGGATTTGTGCAAGCCGCTGTACCGCTCAACGCGACGCTACCGGCTTTGAGAAATCCTTTGCGCACGCGCCTTCGCCAGGGGAATCCCCAAAGCCGACAGGCGGTGACGTCGACGTGCCGCCCTTGTCCCTCCGTGAACTCCTCCGGGACGGGTCGCAGGTAACGGCAAGGACCAGGCACGGCCTGCCTCAAGACTCTCCTTCACCCCAAGATGAACCGAAGCCGTACCCTCACGCACGCACATATCCACAAAGCTCGGCAAGGATGTGTACTCCGTTCCTCCTTAGGATGGACCGGAACATAAGACTCGTCCTGCGTTGCTTAAGTTGTCGATGACTGTATGTGGCTCCTGGCGTCCTCCGCGGTCCATCGTAAGGTAGTACAGCAAACGGGATATACATCTTCGGGTGGAAGATTGCGGAAGTGACTCGGGCTTCTGGTAGTTGATTGGCCACTCCGGTTGATGTCGCGGCGCCTTCGCGGTTCGTGATTGGACCGAAGACAAGACGTAATCTTTCCTTCGGTCCGTCGTCGGATGCGAACGGGTTGTGTACGCGGACGCGAACAGGTAGCAGACGTTTCAGCTGATGTTTCCGGAATCTATCGAGGAAACCTGTTCACCTTGGAAGCGGCGAGACGAGACCAGAGGGCTGACCCTCGTGGGCGCATGCGTGGAACTGGTTTCTGGGTGAAGGCCGCGCTCTTCCAGCTTTTAGCCGGCGCTTAGTCGAGAAAAGCCGGCCACACGAGAACGAGCAGACCGCATCACCCTTCGCTGAGAAATGCATCGCAGTACGACAGCCGCGTGCTTGGTCCTGTGCGCCGTCCTCGGTAAGTTATGAGTCCTGGGTTTTTGGTGCTACGTGCTTCTGTCTGGTGATTTTTTTTTTAAATTTCTTGCCATTGATTTTTTTATTGCCGACTTTTTGCTGTGACGTAGCGTGCCATCGAAGGGGTTGTGTTAAAGTAATACTTCCTTAATTTTACTTCTTTGACTTAGCTGACAAGAACACCGAAGGACGAATCACGATGCAAGAAGCCTGTACCATAACAAGCCGCACCCTAATTTTTTTAAACTCTCACTGACTATAATAGTCGCTGAAAACTGATCAGTTCAGTGGATGCTCCGCCTTTGCCGCTAGCTTTCTGCCTTTATCAGCACTTCGTCGTACGCGCGGAAGACAACGAGCGCGTGGTGGAGGCCATTCTTGGACCGAATTCTTAGCCTGACGCCGACTGTAATGCCTCCGTTACAAAGGCAACATTACGTCACTTCTAGTGGACGACATCCGCCACCGAATCTCGTTTGTTCGCTGTCACACGGGAACATTTAATTACGTTAACTGAAAGGAACATGCGCAAACGGATGAGTACGGGAGTACTTATCCGCAGTTGCTCTCGGACTAACTGAGTGTTCTTGACGGCAGAGACGCAGCGAAGGACGGCAACGTGTAATTATTTTACCAAAATGGCGCAAATTCTATGTTGGTATTTATGTGTCACAACATGTCTATTTGTTTTTCTAGCGTTCACTAATATTATACTACAACATGTGAAGTAACTATACTCTGTACCTTATAAAGATAAAAAGATAGAATACTTCTTGTTCCTGTCATTCAGTGCCTGACGTTCTGATGGCAGTCTTTATGCCGGAATGCGTAATTTTGCTTTGATCTTGATGTCAACTGGCGTCGGATTTCGCAAAGAGGGCAGATCTAATAAAAACAACTTAATAACATACACGGCAAACCCTGTCTATTATGTAATTTTAATGATATTGAATGTATTGGGGGGGGGGGGGGGCAAGCTTGAAAAAATGTCTTATATTTCAGATATGGTACGAGAATAGTTTACTATAGTGAATTAACCCAATCACCATCATGGTGTTAAATGACGTCAGAAGATTGAGTGGGGCACGGTTAAAAAGTAATGTACCATACGTAGTCAGAAGGACTTTTGCTGGAATTGCTTTGATTTTCGCGTGTGACAGGAGACGTGTTTTATTCAAACAATGATTTCTTATGCCATTCAAAAATATGTCTGAAATTGGTTTGTTGTGTTCAGTGAATTCCGACACAACCCTTCAAATATTCGGAAACTTTCGGAGAATAGAAGTTTTTATTGGTAACTTCTGGTGACATTTCTACCGTCATAGTAGACGCTTTCGTTTTGCAAATAAGCAATAAAGGAACCTGATTTGTCCATCTAACAGCGACTTAAATAATATTTTAGACCTAAACACCCCACCAGATAAATATATTTAAGTTGCGATTATCAACCATTTTAAATGTTCAAAACTTCAGATGATTACCTAAGCTTGATATTGCTGTATTTAATGTAAGTTTATAGTGTATTTTCATCACTCATCAGTTCTCCTAGAATGAGAAAGTTTCGCCGAAGACGGCTATTTCAAGTATATAAGAAAGTGAAATGTGTCGACTCATTACTAGATGAGCAGTAAAAGCATTCCACACGCAACTGCTTATATCCCTATTAGAAAACTAACACCAGACTCAGCAAAGTAACGAACTTTGAAGAACCCCTAAAAAAGTAGAAAAACTCAAACTGATAGTTCATAGAAAGAGAGTAAAGTTCTGCTTGAAAATGAGAGCCATCGTCTAAAGTTTTAAAGGGCAATTCGACCCTGTCTAATCAGAAATAGCATTTCTTGTCGTACAGTCGTACCGCCTCCCAGTCTTATTTTTACGCTTTTCTGTACGAACTCAAATCACATTTTAGATTTGTACGCCATTTATGCATATCTGTGGAAGGGTATGCGTTAAGTTTACAAACGAATTTTTTGAGACAATCCGCTCGTGAAACACAGCCACAAATATTAGTAAAGCGTGTCTGTAAAGTGGGCGGGCGCGAGGATACAAAACTGCTGTGGCCACCACTATGTTTTTCTGTCGTCATCAAATTACAATATACTACGTTTTGTTTTCGTTCCTTTCACTTTGCGAACGTAATCTTTATTTTGTAAGGGCGACTTTGTTTTTAAATTTTTGTGAGAACCTAGTTTTGATCTTGTAAGACTCCAGATCCGTGCTTGGGTTATAATATCAAATCAGTTTTGAATTTCGCGACTGTCCTGGTGTCGTGACACCCTCAGACCGAACAACGTACGCTTGGAGGTTTCAAAACCTTGCCCCTCTATTCTTGGTTCGCCTCAGTGCTGACATTTTAATGTTTTGTTTCACTACGCGCAGGCGCTGCAGTTGCCCAGACAGTTGATGACGTCACAAGGCAGTGCCTCGACTGCATCTGTCAAGTGAGTGACGTGAACTCGTTTCCTATTCAAATAAAAACGCGTTTTTTTATATATAAAATGCTGTGTTATATGTTGTGCCCCAACGATGAAGCTCACTTTGTTATTGACTGTGAATCCGCCCTTCCTGAGCGTTAAAACCTTCCCATACGCTTTGTCGCCACATGCGCCTGTTTGATTCGCGGATTCCCCGGTACCAGGAAAACCGTGTGCGTGATCGGAACCATTACGCGAAACAAAGAAATCAGATGCTGCGTGACGCTAGTGTGGATCCTAGTGTGACATTCAGGAGTTACTTTTGGATCTGCCTCGGCTTTGTGGGGATTCCGCTTGGGAAAATGATCGAGATTCGGGAATGTTCGTCTGCGGTTTCTTCCTTACATTCTTTAGACAACAACGTTTTTTGACAAAAACATTGAGTTTTTTTTTGTTTTGTTTTTTAGGTAGAATGATTTATTATTTAACCGTAAGAAGATGGCGGTCGAGTGCCTCGGTCTGCGAGCGCCTGCCTTGTTGCTTTTTGGAAGTTTGGGTGACGACATTTCTGGACGATAAGCGGGCTAGTCGACTCAACCGTCTCGCAACATCACGTGTTGAAACAGCATTTGCGAAAACGTACATAGAAATCGCATTATGGTTGCGCGTGTGGCCAGCTCAACAAAATAACGCAAAAGCTTTGGTGACCAAAGCTTTTGCTTTAGCCGGTCTCCCAATACTCGTACAGTGACTGTATAAGAGAGAGAGAGAGAGAGAAAGAGAAAAAGGGAGAGAGAAAACACATAAAACCTTTTCAGTTCAAAGTTACGCCTCTAGCCGACGGGCAGAGCTAGCTCTTCTAAAGCAACGAACCTTGTATTTGACCATCGGGCAATAAACACACAGATGAGCGAAAAATATGAACTCGAACGGTGAAACCAGAAATCTCTGCCACCGCGAAACCTTCAATGTTCACTTTTTTAAGATGTGTAATTTATATACTGTGTACTCGTAGAACTGACCGCGAACAGAGGGAAACATATATTCGAAGATTGATCATCGACGCGAACTTGGGAAGGAAACTAACGGCGTTGTTAGCGTGTCCCTTTAAGCAAGTTCAAATAAGGTTCAAAGTACACAACACGAAAACCAATCCCCCCTAGCGGTTCTCAAAGTGATCCATGATCGGTTGACGCCGTTCTAGCCCGGGGCATATTTGAATCTTGCGACAATATTGATTGTAGAGTGTGTGTGCTCAGATTGAAATGATAACCTGTCTGGGAGGTTGATTAAAACAAATAGGAAAGAAAAGAAGTCTGCAACGATGGCGTTTTTGGAAAACTGGATTGAGTATAGGGTTGCTATACCAGAAAACAAAACGGTCTATAGGTTTTATAAAACGTTTTGTATGTATTTTTTTAACCTATCTATGTTTCTTTTTGTACTTGTGGATCTTCTTTGAAAGCAGGTAAAGCAAAATAACAAGAGAAAAAAGGTATATATTTACACCTTTCGTTCCCAAACTAGCTGCTCATTTTCCGAACTGTGGGTTCCTATATTAACGAGGGAAAATTGTATGGGGACGGATCGGTCCCCGAGTTTGTTTTCCCCTCATATTGCGTGGTGTTTAAATTAACGGAGTTTATATAAAGGAGACATGACTGTATTATACACGTTTCCAGGGTTTATCACTCGGGCGAAAATGGCAAATCACTGGGCTGTAGACGCATGCGCAGCGTCGATATTTCACAGAAGAGAGCTGCTGCGCAGGCGCAGAACGCGTTTCACAGCCCAGTTAGCAAAGATGCTGGCACGCAAAAATTAAAAATTGGAGCGGTTTTAAATTTTATTGAAAACACTCAATTATATTGAGTCCGATTTCAAGCATCACAAATATCACAAAGGGTAGGCTATTTCGTGCCAGTATTACATAAAAAAAAAGACGCCTTTAAACGTGAGTAGAGAGGGGAGTAAAAGGAGAAGCTAAAAGTATTGCGTCACAAACGGACCCTCGCGTATGCTCCTCGGCTCGCAGAGTCAGCGTCGTGCGTCGTCGATACTTGCTGCGCTACTGCGTGTGCGTGTACCTGAGCTAGTTGGTGATTCATGCTTCTGAAACATGCCGTCTGAACGCAGGAGCATATACGAAGAGCGAGAGAAAAAGGACCGACACACTGCTGGACTAGCAACCATTTACTGAAGGTAAACCTTTTATTCTTCCACGCCCATTAGTTTCATGCCCCGGAACTAATGGGTGTGGAAGACCGAAGAGGTTTGTCTTCAGTAAACGGTTGCTAGTCTAGCAGTGTGTTTGTTTCAAGAATCTTTGTACAGAAGAGGCAGGCAGTTTAGCGAGTCCGAGGAGCTTACGCGTAGCGGAGACGGAACGAGGCAAGAATTGCTTCGTTCCGTCTCCACTGCTTGTTGATCGTTCTGCGACCGGCTGCATTTTTAGAGCGCCGCTCTAGCGCCCGTTTCCGGCTTGAGCGGTGTCGCCGTCGCCGTCGGCGTAACCGCGCGGTGCATTATGGGTAAATTTCCCCGCAAAATTTAGTGGAAAAATTCCCCTGTTAAATTTAGCGGAAAAATTCCCCCGCTATATTTATCAAAAAAAATTTTCCCGCTTAATTTAGCGGAAAAATTCTTCCGCTAAATTTAGCGAAAAAATTCCCCCACTAAATTTAGCGGAACAATTTTCCCGACAAATTTAGCTAAAAAAATTCCCCGCCAAATTTAGCGGAAAAATTTCCCCGCTATATTTAGCGGAACATTTTCCCCGCAAATTTTAGCGGGAAAATTTCCCCGCTAAATTTAGCGGAAAATTTTCCCCTAAATGGGAGACGAGCCGGAGAGGAGGAGGGGCATAGCCCCCTCTCCGTACCTTCCCCTCGTCCTCCTCCAGAGCTGCGCTCTAATTCGGCGTTACAGGGGATTGTAAACGTCTTTCATTTTTTTTCCACGTGTAGTGTCGTTTTGAGGGCAAATTATGGCGATATTTAGAGTATCTAAGAAAAACTACGCGGAAAAGAAGCGGTGACTAAATTTTTTTTTTTAAAGCCGTTTCAGCTTTCCTTGGACACGGTCTCTAATGTGCTTATAAAGTATAAAGCAATGGGATTTTCTATAGCTGCGTGCGGGTGCGACAATGCCCCCTTCGCTAAAGCACCTCGATTGCATTAGCCTTGCAAGTAGCGTCAAGTTCACCAGTGCACGAGGACCGTGTCTCGAGCGGCTCTTAGAAGCAAATGGCGGAGCAGCTCTGAGGGGGGAAGGGGGGATGTGTTGTATAAAACGGGGAAAATGGTTTACTGCCTATGCAGATTGTTATCCTCCAGGTAGGGGGAAGATTCGCATAGGCAGCGGGGAAGGGGGAAAGAAATGTGTGAGAGGGGTGTGTTAAAAATAGATCGCCGTAAATATGTGGAAGGATGCCATCAATCAAGGTATCTGAGGGGAAAGTTGGAGAGAAAATGTAGAGCGTTGGCAGATCATAGCTCATGAGAACTTGTCATTAAGTCACAAGTCGCGAAACAGCGACGCGCGAAATCTAGATGGTAGCTGTGTTTTTTTCAGATTCATGACTCACACAGGTCTGTCTCGTCGCCGCGGAGCGGCGGCGCGATTAAGTTCACCCTGAAATGAGCGGCCCTTGGAAGCGAATGGCGGCGGAACACCCACTCGCGGCACGTGTCTATAGCGTGTTTCCGCAACAATGGTTGGCGGTAGTTGTAAGCGTGAATTTTATCGAGGGACTTTACCCCACGCTTTCCACGCGGCGGAAGCGCGACGACGTCAGCCAGTGGCGTACCAACTTGTTTTTGATTGGGGGGGGGGGGGGGGGGGGGGGGGAGCGGTGCCCTTCATATCCCTTGGGCGCCGCCGGCCAATGTTTGCCCTGCCCAGTGGCGGTAGTTTAAGGGGGGGGGGGGGCAAAACACATGCCTTGCCCCCTCCACTTTGAGAACTGGGGGGTGCAAGTGCCCCATTTGCCCCCTCCCGTCCCAGTATCACTCTAAACCACTGTTTGGACCACCCTCATTGGCACTGTGTGCCAATGTACACATACGAAGGAACTACAGTGCGCTGATTGAAATACTTTTGGCTTACGGCAAGTGAACGATTATTTATGGAAAATAGTTTTACAGCGGAGCTGTTAAGGGCTAGTTTTCCTAGTTTTGTTTCCGTGGATAAATAAACTTCGACACAACCCTCTGGACAGATATTACCGTTTATGAGCAACAAGGGCAACCGGCAGCCAGACAACCGACAAGCCGGTTGTCTGGCTGCCGCTGTCGCTCATAGATGGCGGCACATAGTAGAGCTCCGCTGCCTTTCCTTTCCACCAGAGTGGAAAGGATAAAAGTTTTTTGAGAAGACGAAGAGGAAGAAGTGTTCCGCGAAGGTCCCTGCAGGCAGATGGACATAACTATAATCGGTGACAAGTTATGAGTTCAGGGGAAATTCCTCTCTCTCTCTCGGGAAACTGCTCCCGTCCGATGAGGATACGAGCGAACTTTGACGTAGGGAACTAAAGTGGTCGTGCAAAGATAATACATATGACCGGACTTAATTTTATAAAATAATGAAACCTCAAAGGTCTTAAATCTCGAATATTGCGGCGAAATATTGCGTCAACAGTTTACAAACCGTGCTTGAAAATTGTCTTTCTTGGGGTGCCTGTAGGTTCATGGAACGACCATCCGACAAAGGGTGCCAGTTTGAGGAACAAATCGTCACAAAAATACCTGCGTAAGGTTGAGGATCTACTGTACTTAATTTTGTGTTCCAATAATAAAAAGGAAGTTATGAAAAAAGTGAGCAATTTACAGGCGTTCTAAAACTAATTCGGCGGTATTATATCGCGTGATTGCTGGCAAGTTTCGTTTTTAAACACATCCGAGATTTCCGTCGTCCAGCAACCATAACAACGTCCGATCCTGTCGTCTGCTGGTCACTGGGCATTTTCTCTGCGCGGAAGGTTTAGGAGGCGGTGTGCTCGGCGTCGTTGGCGTCTGCTGTGTATGCGTTCCAGCACTCGCCATGCCGACCGTGTGCGTTGTGAGAATGTGCAGTACAAGGTAGTACGATAGAGCGAACGACATTCGGTCTCATAAGCTGCTGGATGACCCACAGAGAAGAGCGGCCTGGCTTCGAGCCATTGACCGCGATGGGTCGGACGACAGTGGCACGAGTCAGGGTTACGTGTGTTCCGATCACCTTTTAACGGGGAACTACGACACGAACATCAAAGTGCGGCAAAGTTTTGGCCTGGACACGGAACGAGCACGTCCCGTTGTAACTTGCTGCAGAGAGCTCGTCCCGTCTTCGTTGTCGGTGTCACCGTGTCGCCGTCGGATGGTGACCGGTCTCGAACTCGTCGAAGTGGTTGTCCGCATAAGGCACAAGGCTAAAACGTCGGCTGAGCTCGATTAAGTGACTCTGAAGCTTGGGGAGGTCCGACCGATCGGACATCTTGCAACTAATGAAAGCATCTGGTCGCCTTTGTTTTGTAGCGTGACGTCAAAAATCAAAACTTTCTGATTTGCCGTCTTGATGTGACGTAGTCGTAGAACTAAAAGGGAAGCTCTCCGGGAAACCGAAAGTGTTATTTTACGCTAATAATTGGATCCGGACTATAAACCGAATGCACGTGGGTTACATAATAGAGGACCGGTAATCTAAATAAGCATACGCAAAATTTTCGAAAAAACATTTTATGACGCCTTTAAAGTCTCCCGTAAGATGCAGGGGTCTCTGGTAAAGAGTGGAGGGGGAGGGGGGGTTCATATTAGATACAGAACTGGCTTGATTAATAGTGTATTCACACGACGGAGATTTCTACCACAGAGAGGAGTAAACGTCATCGTGCTTTAAGGTCACAAGCACCACATCTCGGAATGCCTGCTATTGGGCAGGAGATCGAACTATAGGGGGAGCTTTATCGAGCTTGTTGTCCCCAGAGCCCGGTTTTTACCAACATAACAAAACAAAGAAATTTAAGCTCGCCTAGCACGAGCTGGGCACGAGCGCGTCGCTTTGACCAGTGCTTTGGACCCACGAGGAGCGGCCTTCGAATCGTCATATTCGATGTCTGATGTAAAACAAACAAGACATTGAACATTTGTTTTCTTGTCCCCACAGCTGAAGCGTACCGCCGGAGGCGTGACTGTATGATCACGCTGCTTATACAAAAGACAGTCTGCATACAGGTTCGAGAGCCAGTTTCCGCGAGATCCGTGGTTCGAATGCCGCATGACAATAAGTTATGGAAAAACTTTGCACGTGGCATTGAAACCACGGACATTGCGGTGACTCCTGTTTGCAGATGTGTCTTTTGTATGATGCATGCGCAGTCTGCGTCTGGCTTCACCCCACATGTTTCTCAGGAAACAAAACCGACCAAACAACGCGGATTCCGATCATTTTTCTCGTTAAGAATTGATAATGTCCCTGAAATGTCCGCCATTTTGTTCCACACGAAATCGACATGGCCACTCAAAACATAGTTTTTTTTTTCTGTCTAGAGATGGTTACTCAACAAAACTTGAATAGGGAAGACACTAACATTTCTGATTACAAGATAGAGTACTTATGATTGTGTTTCGATCACCGCCAGAGCTGTGGCGGGGGGTCCCAAACCACCCTTAAAAAACGGCGAGGGCTCCGAGACCCCTTGAGACACCCCTGACCCTAAGCACAAAAAAACAAACAAAAAACACTCCGTCTAAACAAGAAAAAGATTGGACGGAAGCGGAATGTTGCACGACTTACGTCGGAGTTGTGTTGCCTCAGGATTTCTGAAGTGTGTCGTTTGGAGAAGCGTCTAGCAGAGTGAACGCTGGAGAGGAGGCGACCTCCTCTCCGGCGTTCGCTCTGCCATAGTAGAGAGAGGTGGGAAGGGCCTCCCCTGTGTTCTTCAAGGACGGTCCAAACAGAACACTTCACGAACGCGTGAGCCGACGCTTCTTCGCTATATGAAGTGCTTTTTTGCTTCGCTATATGAACCGCTTTTTTTTTCTTCTTTTTGTTCTGGGGGAACGCCTTTTTTTTTTTGCCATAGTCCGATTGCGCCTTTCACGAAGGCCTAGAGTACGCTCATCACGTGAGTGCGGATAGCCACTCACGTTCTCTGTACGCTGTCAGTCACTCTCTTAAGGCCTCCGCTGCTGCCCAAGTCTAATCCCGAAAACGGGAAAGGGAAGGATACCAGGCCTCGGCAGAACAGGCGAGCAGGCACCGACGTCGCGGAAAGGCAGAGAAGCGGAGGAGGAAAACCGTGATATTTGTGAGGTGGATGTCCGAACAGAAGACGGACGGCCGGACTTGAACTTCAACTTCATTTTTCGGAGAAGTGTCGCTTCACGCGTTCTGAAGTATCCTGTTTGGACACTTCTTTAACCTGTCACCGACTGTAGTACGGAAGTTCCTCAAATTCGAACCCGGAACAAAGACGCCAAGACGATGAGGTTGTGGTTGCCTCCTTAGAAGGAGTTAAAACACTGTATTTTACTTTATTCATTTATTACATACTGCGGACCTTAGAACAGTACAAGCAGGAAAAGCATTAAACACATAAAAAAAAGACGGGGATTCAGCACCACGAACAATTTAGCAATGAATAGTATACGAAAAAATGAAAGCTGACAAGATCTCGAAGAAATACAAACACGTACCATTACTATAATTCTAAATAGATTACAGGGCTGGAACACGCACAGAAAAGGAAACTAGCACTTGTAGAGTACATTTTCAAGTGATGATGCAAAAATCACTTGTTGATATATCACAGGGGAAGGAATTCTACTCGTTGCTTGTGGGGGAAAATTTCAACAGATTAGCACGAGCGAAGTATGTGTTAAAGAATGCTGATGATGGCGTGTAGTACGTTTTGTAAAATGTAGCGGGGGGGGGGGGGGGGGGGGAATGGTTGAGGTCGCAGCGACAACGCGCCTTTTTACTGTAGCCCGGCCTTGGATTTGCTTACCGCGATCATCCTAATATTCAGCACGTTTCGGCGTGTAGAGCTAAGGTTCGTGTAACCTTGTTTTTTCTTTTCTTGCGAGAACGAATGAGCATTTGTGTCTACTTCACTATTTTTCAGGCGAGCACCAAGTGCAACACCAAGCTGGCGTGCACGAACGCGGGCCCTAACTCCTACTACTGCGGACCTTACCAGATCTCGTACGCTTACTGGGTCGACGCCGGCAAGCCGGGAGATTACCCACGTAAGTTGGAAGAGAGGCCGTAGTTACTATTGGTGACTCCAGCGAAACCGACGCCGCGCAGCGGCAACGACGAGAAGCTCAGGAGAGGAGGCCGTTTCGATTCTGTCGTCTGCTATCGCGGCTTGGTTCTCGTAGGCAGCATAGAAACGAACACCATTTCCAGTTATCATTTCTATGCTTTCGTCGTGTCGTTCCTACGCACTAAATATAAGAATGTTTCACTTGACGAAAAATTTCTTTGCTTTCATATGTAACACCGATTTTATCCTGCAGTGCAAGAAATTGATGGTGGTCCGCGTGCTGAACGACGAAAAGGACCTCCTTTCGTCCGCCATTTTGCCTGGCCAGAGCTTCCCCTGTAGTTCGCTAGAGTTGCGAATAGTCTATTGCAGGTTAAGAATAGCAGGACAAGCCCCCTCCTCACTCGTCATGATTGACGGCTTTTTCCTCCCCACTCAACTCTTTTCCAACGTTCGTTCTGCTAAAGTGTAAAGGCCCGTTCGCACACTTGCGACTTCTTAAGACCGAGTGCCTTGGAACCTCTTAGAATCTTTTATGACGAAAGGACACACTGGCACCATCTACCGGGTAGCAGTGGAAGCTTGGCGGTCCTGTATTTTTTTTTTTTTTATTTCTCTCGCACATTGTCCTTTCTTTCTTGGCTCGAAAAACGTTTATCAACGTTATAAACGACACTCCGAGCGACAACCTTTTAGGCGCTTCTGGAGAAACAAAGTGATTGATTACAAAACAATTACTGCCGATTACAAAGGGGGGGGGGGGGGGATCGGGAACGTGTGGAGCGAGAACTTGAGCTGCAGATACACACATAATGTACAGTCTCTATACCATTATGAAAGACCCATTGGACGAGGCAGTTTCAATCAGCTGTGCTGAATTCGCAATGGCTAGGCTAACATCAATTGAAGTTAGGTTAGGTTAGGCTCTATTTCCCTCTCTAGAAGTAGTGCTTCCGGCCAAGTAATGCTCAGAGACACAGCATAAACTGCCTAGGTGAACGGGTTTTTGGTATTGTGGGAGACTGTACAAGCGTACCTTGTTTCTCAGTGTACAGAGTACAAGTAGCATGAATCGCACTATTTGTCCTGCCGAAGGTGAGGGGGCGGGGGTGGGGGGATCGGGGGCATCTGGAGCGAAAGCTCGTGCTTCAGAACCCAGATGTCCTGAACTGAATCCTCACCCCTGTCCATGTTGGTCTGAATGAGCATCGTACCTGCCAGCGGTCCTGTATCACTACTGCGTGTGGCGCTTTAAAGAGTCTGGGCTAGCCACGATACTGCACTGGCCAAATAGTTCCTTTACATCGGAGACACTCAAGCGAACTCATAGAAGGTCATCCACGAGGACGGGCCTGGGCCTTAAAAAATCCCTATAGTATGTCATTGACGGTTTAAGAAACGCAAGCCGTGCCCTGTTATGATCACGATTCTTGCTTGGTCACTACCAGACAACCATCCGGTCTCACTAAATTTCCGCCATCTAAACGAACACACAGGATAATTCATCACATATTCTTCCACCTGCCCTACGCAGTTGGCTGTCTAAAATAGAAGCCCGCCAACCTTTTAGACGCTCTTATACACATACGCCGTTCTTGGACGTGGGCATTTCGATTGTTCCCCGTCAGCGGCGAGCGCTCGCTTCGTACCTCTAAAGACAGGCTAACCTTAGGTCGTTTGCCAATGCGCAGAAGTTGTCGAGATCTCTGACGCGTCCATGACACTGTCCGTGACCCCCAGGCGACGTGCGCTTTCTCTCTCCACGATCGCAGACTTCGAGGGCTGCCTGAAGGACAAGCGCTGCTCGGAGGCCACCGTGGTTAACTACATGAACAAGTGGGGCACGGACTGCGACGGCGACGGCGTGGTCACGTGCTACGACTACGCGAGGATGCACAAGGCCGGCCGCACGGGCTGTCCGGCGACCTGGGTGGACAGCACAGAGTACTGGGACCTGTTCGAGCAGTGTATGGGCGGAAACCAGGCCGGGGGACTAGATGCCAGACGAGTCAAGCCAAAGACATAAGACGACGATTAAAAACGTGCCAGAAAACAGTCTTGAGGATGCTTTTATCAAGATTAGTCTTCAAGGGCGGCTGAAACCGGTGCGGTTGGATCGCCTTTTTTATGCTAGGTGCGCAGTCTGCAGTGTTGTGTAAGGAACTTTAAAGGCACACTTCCTCGAACACTCGCAGTGCGCGCGTGCATCCTACTTGGAAGGTAGACGTTAAAGGGTCATGTGTAGAATTTTGCCTGCCCAAATAATAGGGCTCACTTTCACCAGCTTAGCGCCTTGGGAGGTTTCACTAGATTTCAGTGCTGTCTACTAAATCGATGTATTTTCAGAAAATATGTGTCATATTTTTTTCTTTTCTTCTGTAATGTAGTTAGCCAGTTTTCATTTGTTTTCTCCAGCAGGTAATGTAGAAGTAACCGCAATATGCAAAACGCTGTAGTTACTACCGAGTACTTATATTTACGACCCTGTCCAAAGGGCCGTCAACTGAGGACGACGATCCTAATGCTATGGAACTGCCCGCTTGGTTTGCTTTGGAATATTATCTTATAAAGCCAGGATATATGTAAACTTTACGCTCCATTTTTGTTACTGCCTAAGTTCAATAGTCAGTCAATATTCACATTATACTGTGAATGCCACGTCCCAGACGAAAATAAATAGGCGGAATCGAAATGTGAGATCTAACCCTATAAGATAGGCTCTAGTTACCCGATTGGCACGTTGCTTTTGATGTCCAAAAGGGAGACTACCCCGGCTGCTTCTGGTGTCGCGCGTCTAGTGCCGTTTCTTTGTATTGTTACTTACATATTCGGTGGCCCTACAATCTACGACGCGCCCTCGTAAACAGCAATAATTTCGAGCGCCTTCTTTCTTTGCTAAGTTTCGAAATAAGGCGGATTGGGAGCCATCGGCGATTGGGAAACATCTCGAAACAACATCCTGTTTCACAAGTTTTAACATCGAGCCTCTACACTATCAACCAAAACGCAACCAATTGCATTGTTACCTTTAAAACAAGTACGAAAGTGAACTACAAATAGTTAATTATCCAGCTCAAAACAAGAAATCGAATAACAGTTAAATGCAATAAAAGATAGTAGAAAGAACTTGGAAAAATAGCTTTTTGAAAGCTTCAGAGTGGCAGTCGGCGTTCCGCTATGATACTTTCCTTCAGGGCCAAGACGCTGTGTCTTTTATCGAAACGTCAGTGGCGCCTCAGAGGCTGGCTTCCCGGAGGTTACTTATCAAATTGATCCTGGCTCTTATCCTATCATCGAATGTCCAGCGGACTCAATACGTTCGACTTGAATACTGTACCGTGTCAAAGTCAAACCCTCCTCCTCCTTTCTTTCAGTTTGTATGTATTCAAAAGGGTTACCCTGTTTCCCTTGTTTGGCGTGTGACGGAAAATTACAAGTGTAAAAGCTCGTAATAAAACCTGAGCCGACATTTCGCCAAGAAACTTACTTAATCGTTAACTACATTTGTCTAATGTTTATCAGGTTAGAGCTCGCCTCGGTGGCTCTGAGGTAAAAGTGCGAACCAACGGATCCTCAGATTTGGGGTTTGAATCACGGCCGATGTGCCAGCAATCTAACGGAGGCTTATTGCGTAGAAGGTGACGTGTAACCGAGATTTCGTTATACGGGGCAAAAAATCCCCAGGTGGTCGAAATGAATTATCAGTTTTCCGCTGGGGCGTGCCAGGTGCCCTTCGTTGGTTGTGCACGTAAAATTCAAAAATTGGACTTATTAAGTTGGAGCACGGGACAAGAAAACCCACATAAAACCTATAACTGCCGCAAAGCTGTAAGAGGTACCACCGCGCGAAGCCGTCGCTACCGTTTTTGCGTTTAATTATTTCGAGTTCAACAAGTTTCATGTCTCACTGTTTTATAGAAGTTTACCGGAGCCCGTAATATAGAGTATATATCACTGACAAAATTCGTCGTTGTTAATTTTTTTATATAAAAAATAAATAAAACAAATTTTATGTAGCGGGGTTACCCTTTTAAGGTCGCGATGCTGCGAAAGCCGCAGTCCTTGCTCGTAACGACTGTTCTTAGCAGCGAGTCTGCATTGTCTTTCGAGAGGGGCGGCGAGCTGCACGAAAGCTCGGACGAGAAAAGGAAAGCAGCCCGAGGCAGACGCAGACGGCTTAAAATGCTATTGTGCAAAGAACCGGCGCGTACGTTAAAGCCTAAATTCGTTGGGCGCCTCTTCCTCTTTTCATTCCTTCACCTCCCGTCGAGAGGCAGAGGGCAGAGGACGCTACCTCGATGCTTTCTGCGAACCCAGTTTCCTCAATACCTGCTTCAAAATAGAAAGATTGCCGACACGTAGCACAAGAGAAAGAAAGATAGAAAGCATCATTACCGCTCTTTGTTGTTATAATAGAGGCCATGACAATAGGGAGCTTTTAGAAGAACATTCTAGAAGCCTAACGTACGCTTTCGTACTGCTATGTAACGACTGCTCTTTTGTGCTACATTCAATCGTTTAAGAATGACGTTCCGTTGTTTGGCTCAGTCGTAAAACTATATATCTGTAAAAAAAAAAACACAAACACACACGCACGCGTGCGCTCGCACACACTCACGCACGCACAGGCACACTCTCGCGCACTCAGAAATGCACACACACACGCGCTCGCGTACACACACGCACGCACACGCACACACGTTTTAAGATTTTGGGACCTTCACATTCGCCCCTTGAGCCCTCTCTCTGCTGTTCTCAGCAAAACCCTGTAAAAATAGGTTTCGTCTCGACTACTACCTAAACCTCCGGAAGAATCATAGGTGAAAGTATTACAATATCAGCGAATGCCGAGATGACACTAAAGATCGAATACCTTTTTCTTCCTACTGCCGACATCTTCTTGATATCTTGAATTTCTGCCCACCATATTGGCATATTCTAATAACGTGAAAGTCGGAGCACGAACAAAATATGTTATTTAACTATTTTCACAAATAACTTTTATTCCTCGGGGTCGTTTTAAATTTACCGCGTCATTAGCCCCTGTAAAGTTATTATACACTGGGCGCAAACACACAACGCTCATGGTCGAAGGCTCGGTGGTGTAAGGAGGTTGTGACACCATTAACTTTTAGGCGTCACATGGAGGTTCGGAATGGAGCTAAATCGGTATGTGTGACAATCTTAGCGACACATGTATTTCTAAACTTTCTATCTGTCACCAAGTTTCAGTTTTCTCTAGGTCCTATTGTTGTTTATGGGGCTGAGCGAATACTGATTCAAATGGAATAAAGCAGCGTCATCCTTAGCTTTAACACTGCAAAGAAAACCGGTATGTTGTTGTTGGTCTTCCTAGCACTATGGAGGCTACGAATGACGCAGCACTATTCGATTCGTACCACTTTTCATGCACCCCTTGTACTTTGACGAGACCTTTTTGTCACACCTGTTTTCAGAGTGCTTAAAAATTTAAAATACAGCAGATAACTCATCGTCCTCCTTCGCGTTTTTTTTTTCTTTTTTTCTGCCGCTTAGAGATGTTATTGTCAGATACCCAGGGAAAGACTGACCTGTGATATAAATGACTGGATCGTGCATAGCTGTTTATCGTTTCTGGATAACATTAATTTATTTCTGGAAGTCACCGCTTTCACTAAAATGGAACGACAGCAGTGGTTGCTGTTTTACACCTCTTCGTTGAAGCTATTCGAAGGACTTGTCTATCAGGTATCTTGGGCATATTTCCAGTCGCCTGAAGTCGAGTGCACCGAGCTCATGAGCAGTGAGCGACGCTAGACATCCTATGATTATATGTTAATAAGCAATAATTAGTGGATCGCGAACGACACGTTTTTTGCAGAATGTTAGGTAGGCAAGATTGCGTAGGCTGATGCCTCCGGCTGTAATTTTAAATTTCCTTAAATACAAAGTCTCCTTTTATGTTTTCTAAAAAAAAAAAAAAAAAAATCCACGGTGGTGCTTTAATCCACGCTGTGAAGATGCTGGGCCAGCAAAGCCGTGGCATCACCTGCAAGGATTTTCCACGGCACCATACCAAAGGATTGACGACGGAAAAGTAAATGCACTGTATAAAAGCTTTTTTTATACATAAAAAACTTCGTACGCTGCCGTTACCACGGCAGCTTATGCAACCGCAATCTTTACCGAGAAAAGCATGCGGGGAGCGCTACGTGCTTCGCATTGTTCGCGTGCGCCTTATTATCTATCATATAGTTTTGATACTTGTGTTGTGTTTTTTTTTTATTAAATCAAGTGTAAAAACCACATGATAGATAATAAAGTGCACGCGGACGATAATGAGGCGGCGCGAGCAATGGTTTCCTGTCGACTGCTGGCAGTTTAATACTTTAGACACATTTTACGGATAAAAAAAAAAAAAACAAAAAAAAAAAAAAACGCGGGGGCTAAAAAAAGAAACACGCGTTTTTTGTGTAAGGCTTGTTAAATTATGAGGCGATGGAGCAATGCAGTCTTCTGGGTGAAGTTCTTATTTTGAACTCTTTTTGTTCGCCTTCCGCCCATTGAAAAGCATGCTGGAAGGGCCTTAGAACGCATCTGGTATCGCTGCGCCGTAGCATTGTTCCGCAACATAAAGTTCGTCTGCTTTCCTCACCGTCACCATGGCAACGAACGCCGAATGAATGGAAGCACGCACGGTACTGCCGTGTGAAGCCAGCAACAGCTGACGCCATTTTACGAGCGCCGTCTGCTAGCCAAAGCAGAACGCGATGTGTCAGATCAGAGCCTATATGTAGAGAGTTTGGCCGTTCGTTGGGAAGTATAGGAGACATATCAGGAGGTGCCATTGGCCGAAAGTGGGCTGGGCGTGTTGCAGGGCGTCTTCAGAAATTCGAATGTGGCCAACCAGAAGCTGGAATAATACCCTGGCGGTGGTCGCGAGAAAAAAACCTGATAAGTGCATCGGAGTAACCTTCGGTGACTGAAAATATGGCACACGTGATGTTTCAATCATGCTCATCTAAAATGATGGTGGAAGAGTGCGACTAGCGGAACGACTGACATAATCCTTACGC